CACATTTGTGCAGAAGCATCGCAAATGGTATTTTGTGGTGAATCACAACGATTTAACATTCCATTCCAATGCTGGGAGGGAGGGCAACGCATCGGCATACAACTGTAAAACCTGTTGCAATCCTTGGCATCTGTCTTGAATATAACGCCTTCCGATGCGGGAAATGCGCCACCATAGGTTGAATCAATTGGATTGGGATGAGTGTTATTACAATTCGCGACGGAAGGAAAATCACAGCGATAGGTTGTCACACTCCATTGTAGCTCGTTCTGACACAACATTGCGTAGGCATACCCATTTTTGCAAGTGTAATACTTGTGGCAATCGCTGGGGTAAGGCAAGTGTATTGGGTGCATAGGATCGTCGGCAAGTGGGCAATCGGGATGGCGGAAGGTTTGTTCAAGCTGTATGTTTGTAATGCGTATATGTATATGAATTAACAAAAAATATTTATTAAGTTGGATACTTATAAAAGTGTTAACAGTAATGAGTTGAATTAGTAAAAGGAATAATTACCAGAGGCAGGCTGTTCAAGAAATTACATATTCGATCGATTCAACATTCAACAGACAGGCATGTTTTTCTTTTGTTGTAAGCAGTGTTGCCATTTTAACTATTTTCCAGCTAGAAAAATTCCAATTTGGCTGCTAGCTTTTTTTTTTAGCTTTTTCGGTAAATCTTTTAGCTCTTTCTAGCTTTTTTCTAAATTTAGAAAAATCCAAACAAAAAATATTGTATGAATAAACACGGCTCAATTACTCTTCATAAAATTGTAAAAAGCAATAAACGCCCTTAACTCTGTTTGAGGGGACAAATAATCGATTATAGTTGAATATTTGCAAAACTCTCGAAATATGGAAAGGTATAAAGTTATAAATTATCGAGTTTAAAAATTAACATTTACTATTGAATAGATATTTTAAGAAAGCTGATGTGCCCGCACCCCAAGGGAATATTATCAAGGCAGACAATACAAGCTCAAGCAGTTTCTCGGAAGAGCAGCCTCCGCCCAGAACTTTTCACAATTGAGCAATTGTCCAGTATATGCTTTTTATTCAAAAAATCAATCAAGTAGTCTTTAATTTGTTATTGGCTGTAAGAAATATGTACCTATTTTGCTGTTTATTTGTGGAAAAAAACAAACAAAACATTTGAATTGAACACTTTTAGCCATTTTTTTAGCTTTGAAATTTTTTTCATTTAGCTTTTTTTATTTCGTTTTTTTTTGTCCATTTAGTTGGTTTGCTGAGAAAATTCTGGCAACACTGATTGTAACTATGTACAAATATAAAATGAAATATGAAATGAAATATATTTTGCTGTTTTTTTTTTATGAAAAAAAACAAATAAAACATTTGAATTGTTGTCTTTACACTTTTAGCCTTTTCTTTAGCTTTGAAATTTTTTTCATTTGGCTTTTTTTATTTCGTTTTTTTTCTCCATTTAGTTGGATCGCTGAGAAAATTCTGGCAACACTGATCGTAACTATGTACATATATAAAATGACACTAAGTACAAACCCTTTCATTCAAGGTCACAGCTGTCGCGATCCATAAACAAAAGATCATTAAATACAGCAGATTTGTTTGCGAAGCGCTAAATTTGCAAGCTGATTGGAAGAAACCAAGTGCGATAATTTAATTAGTTAGAATATTTTTACTTTTTTTTTCTGTTCAATAGATATGTATGTAGATATTTCTTAGACCCACCCATTGCTCGAATCTTTCGATGCGAATGTGGGCAATGTTACTACTGATTTTCCAATAAGCTTCTTCACATTTATAGCTTAGTCAGCAAGGCAGAAGGTCTCAGTACTTGCCAACTATTGTATGCACATACTTCAGATTTGCTTAGGTATCGGAATGCAATGTGATTTAACTGATAATCGATGAAGTACACCTTGAACTTTTCATGTGTGTTTCAGTCAATAATGGCTAAGGGGAAATACATGTGATCCTATTTTTATAAGGTTTTATTTCACACATTGTACACGATAACTATACTGCGGATATCTACTGGGATTTATATCAAATTTATTGTTTGCCCCCAAACAAGGGCGTAGCCAGGATTTGATACAAGGGCGGAGGCGGGCAAAACCAAATATTCTTGTACATTTTTTTAATATATTTTTTTATTTTATAATTTTTACGCTAATAACAAACGTCTCCGATTTTCAGCACACTTTTCGATTATTTCCTCCTGAATCATCTCGCGGTTTTCGGTAACGAGTTTTCCCCTATTCTCCTGTAGTGCTTCTGAGCCAGATTTTTGTTCTACGAAGTGTACTAAAGGATTGCTGTTGTGCATGGAAAAGCACTCAAAATTAAAATTTCGACATTAGCATTAGGGCATATATAGCGCTGCGACCTAGCTAGATCTATTGTGCTAACCCTTATCAAGTTACTCCAACCTTAGGCTGTTAATGAAATTTAGCACAGCAGTTCGTCTCCTCAGAGAGTCCCATCTTGTGCAGATGCTACCTCAGCCTGCAGTGCCCTGTCAGGTATCCGGTGAGTGTTCTTAAACCCTCTCTGCTAAGATTTAGCAGCCGTTCAGAGATTCCTCTAGAGGGAGTAATGCATCTTTTGGACTGCCTATTACCCTTTGTCGAGCACCATTGGGTTGTAACTTGAAAGTCCTCCCATTTACTTAGGAGCACTGCGGTGTGTCCTTTGGATGGACCAAAGAAAGGCTGAGGGCCGATTAGGCTCCGTTGGGCACCGATTTTCTCTAGAGTGCCTGCCTTTTCGTTGCCATCGAATCCCTCATGACCAGGTACCCACCATAGGGTTACTCTGTTTCTGACTCCTGGTCTGATCAATACCTTTTAGCAATTGTCTACTACCTTTGGCACCGTTTTACAAGAGTCAAGTGCTCTTAACGCTGCCTGGCTATCCGACATGATGTTTATTTTACCGCATTTGTCCTTCCATTGCGAAAATTTCTTACTTGAGAAACGGCCCTAAATATTTACAAATTCGGACTGTACATAGGCTTTTTTTTAGAATCGGTACAGGGTAAGTAAGTACCTCGAAAGTTGAAAACCATAGTATATACATACATACATACGTATATCCTTCCCTAAAGGCCACTTCACAAAATTTTTTGTCAAGAATGGGACAAACCCCAATATTTTACCACCATCACACGATTGGGCTACCAGGTTACACCAAATTTTATGATACTAATATGTGTTCTAAATATGAAGCGAACCTCACCATAAGTAGGATTTTTTAGGATAGCTCCCCTGCGCCACCTATCGGAAGACAAACTGTTCCATCTTTTCCAATAACTGCCAATTTTCAACATGAGTAGGTCATTGATAACATATGTAGCCGTGTAAAATTTCAGGAGGTTAGCATAAGCAGTTCCAGATATAAGCGATATGAGAATCACTTTGTATAGGAGGTGTCACGCCCCCTTTGCCAAAATCTCACCGTAAAAATATTACGACGTTAAGATGAAGTCTCTCCAAACTTGGACAGATCATATCTCCGAAAAAAAAATAAAAAATTCCTCGAATGTGTGTTATATTATTTCATGTATAAAACACAAACAAAAATTTTAAGAGAATCGAAAGTGGGACACCAAATTTGGTGTTCGATATGAAAAAGAATGCCTCATATATGCAATATTTTCAAGGAAGATTTCGGGTCTTTCAAAAAATGTTGCCCTTTCCCGATGTAAAATGTGTTTGATGTTAACACTTAACTTTTTGCCTTCTTGTCTCTGTCTAGCTCAGTAATTCCCAAAGTGGCCCAGGTGGATCCCCAGAGGACTCGACGGGGGTCTACGTTGGCATGCGTAAAATATGTGGAAGCACGAGTTGTAAGTGAGGGTCCACGAAAATTAATCTTATGGTTGCTGGGTAGCCTCTATATTTAACATAAAGTGTTTTGAGTGTTGTATAGTGCTCTTGACGAACTTCTGCACTTACCGTCATTTTGTGTCTTCATAAGAGTAGACGCTTTAAAAGCCACCTGCAGACTAAAAAGAGTATATTCAATGCCACAGGATATTACGCCACCATTACCTTTATTGAAGAGATTCTATAATGTTGAATTCCCTGAGGCTGGAAGCTGGTTTACTTCCAGCACTGAGCCAGGACTCACACATCGTCGAATCGTCACTGATGGTTACAAAACTGACTCTGCGTCAGGATCTGGGGTCTTTTTCGAAGTTAATGGTAATAAGTTTCACTTTTCTCTTCGCGCATATACTTCCGTCTTCCAGGCTGAGGTATTTGCAATCCTCAGAGCCATGGACTACGTGTTACGGTGTCTGCAAGGACAACCAAGCTGCACTTAAGGCATTGGTCAGCCCTCTAAGTACTTTCAGGCTCAGCGTACTTTACTCTGCGCACAATGTCACTCGGGAGCACCTACTACCTGCAAACCTGCAAACAGCTATAGCACTCCCCACCTTGGCCATCGAAGCCGCCATCAGAAACTGGATGAATACTTCGCTCAGCAATGACTGGGAGGCATCGAAGGGATACAGGTGGGCGATCTCAGAAGGTCTATTTAGTTTTTTGCTGTCATTGATAGGCGGGACCACATACAACTTGTTGGACTGTTGACTGTTCACTTAACGTGGCACAAACACCTGATAGGCGTAAATGACAACTCCATTTGCCCATCCTGCTTTGAAGAGGATAAGAAGGTGGAACACTTTTTATGCTTCTTGCTTGATTAGTTGTTTGTCATCGATTTTTCTCGATTCGATCTTTTCTTTATTGTCAGTTTCTGAATTTAAAGTTTGGCGAAAAAAGCTTATCGGGTTTGTTGTTTAAAGTTTTGTGTTTTAAAAATGTGAGTGATAAATATTTTTCGCATCACTTTAAAACTCGAAGCGATAATAAAGATGATGCCATCAGCATAAAAAAAAAACTATTTTACAAATACGCCGAATGCAAATTCGTGAGTGAGCCGAACTTGTGAGGAGTTTATGGTGAAGAGAATGTAAATAACGCTATCGCTCGGAGTGCCCTTAAAAATTATAACTCCTCAGAGTGAGACAGTACTTTGATCACATTATTTTAATAAATACAGGAAAGTATTTAATATTTATTTTTGCCTCTCCAAATTTAGCTTGGAACTCACCTGCGTTGCAGATTTACATTGTTAGATCTAATTTTCACATTGGTTAACGAGCTTTGCGAATATGTTAGAAATTTAGCAGCGGGGGTCCCTCGAAACCATTGGAGTTGTGAAAGGGGTCTACGAGAAAAAAAAATTTGGGAACCTCTGGTCTAGCGGACACATTTCATTATATTGTCGTTTTTAACAGCCATCTGATTTTCAGGGCAACCATCTCCCCTGACAAGCGAACTATAATGCAATGTTCGCCGACGTATGACCGATTGAAACTCTACCTAGTTGGAACAAACAGTGAATCCATGTAAATTTTAAATTAACTCCTTTGCAATTCGTCATTTGCCAAATACATACCAAAGTCAATTTTGGAATACTGTAAATATGTTTGTATATGTATGGCAGGAAATAAAACTAATACGACAAGAAATAAGAAAGTTGCAATTAAAATAAAACAACGCAATAAAATTAAAAGAAACGCAACAGACCCAATCAAATAAAAAAAATAAAAATTGTGTAATTTGTAACTTTTTTAAATACTAGGCCAGTTTTGGACGAATTTTTCGGTAACCGAATCCGAACCCGAACACTCGGTGGGACACTAGTACAAAGTTATGTTCAATGTAAAAAACGCCTGGGTATACTTCATTCATAAACACTTTGTTAATGTACATTAGGCCGGGTCAATTATTTTTGATGATGCGCGTATAGCATAGGATGATTCAACGTGTAATTCTAAGCAAATTTTCTGAAGAAACTATGGATCTAAAACCAATTTTAAGTTTGCCAAAATGCGAAAAGAAGTTTCGAAGAAAATGTGAAAATGTTTACTGTTGCGTCCTTTGGTGGAAGTTTTAAGAAAAAAATAAGTGCAGAAAAGAATTCCTCATACCAAAAAAAAAATCCTTGTTTTTATACAGATATTAAGTACTTCTTTACGACGCGACAGCAAAATGCTAGGAAACCTATTTTCGCAATTTGGCAAACTGCAATAAATTTTAGAATAGGGTTGGGCACGCTGCACTAAATTTTTAATGCATTGAGCATTTCATAACCATTCTCCGTGTAGTGGTAGTGAAATTTGAAATGCACCACCACTAAAGTAGTAGTAGTAGTAAAGTGGTAGTGAAAATTTCGATGTTGTGCAATTTGCCCAACCCTGTTTTGGACCCATAGCTTCTTTGGCAAATTTTCTAAGAATTACACATAGAATCCTTCTGTGCTATACGCGCATACAGAGTTGCCAGATGTGGGGATTTTGCCCCATTTTGGGGATTTATGAAACCATTTGGGGATAGATTTTTTCGTTTGGGGATGTGGGGATTTTATGGGGATTTTTGTTTGGTTTAAAACTTTGATATTGATATATATTTTTCTGGCTGCCCATAAAAATTTCTCGAATAAAGATTTTATTAGTACATACTTTTTGCGCGATATGTTTGCAAGCTTTTCCTAACGTCGTCAAAGCATTATTCGGCGCAGATGTCTGCTTTGGTTGGCTTTCACTGAACAAACAATTTTCGCAACAACCTCCGCGAAAGAAATTCTAAAAAATAAATGGTATTGTTTAGCTATTTGAGACTTGTACTCTATTACACTAAAAAAGTTTGATTACTTTCTGATTTTAAACTTTTATTTATGCTGTTTCTGTTATAGATTGAATTATATTTTAAAAGAAAATTAGCAAAAATAAATAAATAAACATATGTTGTAAAAACATATAGCTTTGAATTTTGGTGCTAAATCTCTCACCATAGTTGTACGTATAACCAAATGACCTCATGCATATATGCACATACATATATAAATTTGTAAAAATGTGTAGAGAAAAGTATTCAA